ATTTTGGTTGAACTGAACATTCTGACTTGTTCCTTTCTACTATCCAAACTTTGTTAATTTGATTCTGTTCGTTATTTACTCTGAAACAGTCGATTACACTAAGTCACAAAACGTCAGAATTTCACATTGCTTCTCATTATTATATTACTATTGACATCTTAGCCAATGCTTAATTATTTTGAAACAAAAAAGGAAGTTTTTCGTCACACAAAATCAGAGCTATTGATTTTTTCAAACCAAAAATATTTGTTTTGAATCAGTAAGTCGTTTGTACTGAAAGAATATCAATATATTTCTAATCAAGCCCACGTGTTCACGGGATAGGTAAGGAATCCATATAGCAAAACATAAAGCCATTTAAATTATTCTGTTTTATGCTGAATACCATTACTATTTATCGTTATTTTCAAAAATCTAACAGCCTAATCGAAAGGAAGTGGTATATATATATATGTTTATCACAGTTAACTCATCAACTGGGTACACAAAATTATGCAGTGGCTTTGAGCCAAACTCTAGGTGTGAGATTTCCTCAACTAAATTGGGATTCTATTGAAGTTTTTTATCCGAGCTTGATTGTTTAGTCGAAAAGCTTTCATTGTTCTTCTCGACATCATCAGAACAAACTCCAGGTATAAGCCAAGTATTCTGATTTCTCCACATATCACTATCAACATATCCTGTCGACCACGATCTTGATTGCTTATTGTTGGTCTTTAACCTGTTATTACCTGCCTCTAATTTGGTTGCATTCTCCTCTGTTCTGATTATTTGTCCATGATATTTCTGATTGATTGATCGATTTCGCTGTTCGCTGATTGTTTATTATTTATTTGAACACATAAATATTTGTACAGGGGGGCACCAAATATATATGCGCCATACAAAACAATGATAATTTGAAGAGAAGGAGAAAAGAGAAAAAAAAGTAATGAACGTGGGGATAAATAAAAAAAAGAGAGAGAACAATGATGGGGAAAACGGAAAGGTACAATCAGAAGAGATCTTTCAGTTAAGGAAGATACAACCACTTTTTATGAAGAAAGTAAATGAAGGTTACAGCACGATCGCTACTGGCTTCTATTCTGAGCCATAGAACGTACTCGAGTCAGTGCCTGGTCGAAAATTGTATGTTACCACCGAATACGAGTTCGCTGATTGACTTGAACGCGAAGCTTCCAGAAATTTCTCGGTGTTCTAAGCATTCCTTTTATCTAGGATTTCAACATTTTTCCAATCGAGTATGTCCACATACATTGATATAAGCAAAGATATGTCAAGAAGTTTGCAAGCTAATTAATGCTCATGCAAACGAAGATGAAGGGTGCTACGTCCTACAACCAATCAATACGTGTGGAGGACCTTAAGCAACCGATAAGCAGCAAGAACTAGGAAGACTGATACTCCATGCCTGGCTATCGGCCTAGCACTTACTAGCCTCGAACGAAGAGGAAGAACGCAAGACCAATGCTCATCAACCCGAAATCACTAATATACTTCAGACATTCATTTATATACATGCATGACCAGACCACAGCAGATCATTTGGGTAACAGTATTAACACGAAACAACAATACCAACGGTTGAAAAACTGAATACTGGATAAAGAAAAATTGGTTTTAGTTAATGAGCGGTAAACGCCATAGCAACAACTTACGGATCAAATCGAAACTCAGAACGAGGTTTATAAGAAAATTATAGAAACAAAGTACTTAATAAAAATGAAATTATATATATGCATAACATCGAAAAAATGTCTTCGAAAGTGTTTATTTCGTAGTTAAATCGTCCCTTACAACAGACTGGACGTCCACTTTATCTGATGTAGGAAACTGCGCAATTGTAACAGTTCATTTTGTAGATGGTGTTTAGTTCTATCGTTTCATCCTTTGGCTTGCATACGAATGACTGAAGTGACTTTCATAGATTGCGTGCAACATTTATTACTAGAGGCTTCAATAATCTCAATGTCTTTCCTAATATGAGTTTAATATGTGGAAGGATGGTCGGTTTGATCGTTTACACACTTGATTTCGTTTCTGCTTATGTGTTAAGTTAATATATTATGATGAAGATGCTTGATTGTTGGTTCTTTAGAAGGATGAATATAGGGTATTTTCCTTCAATTTTCAGCCGCTCAAGAAGGCTATAGTGTGATCACACAAACAGTACTCTTTAGGATATCTGTGATTGTGTATTACCGACAAACCTACGTGTTTTCATATAAATAGGTCAAGTACAACAGTAGTAAAGTGATATATAGAGAAGTGCCACTCACCGTACTTGCCATTTGACAGAATTCTTGCTCGCAGTGTTGGGAAAAAATGGGTGGTCCTTCTGTGTTACCAGCCGCAAACTCCACATGGTTGAAAAAATTACCAAGAAAAATGGGTAGTTAACGAGCTCGACCACTTCACTCCCTATGCTTAGAACTGCCACAGGATTGCACCAGTCCCGAAAATTCACTTCGCGTCTTCAGTCAATAAACATTCCTGAGTTATTATACAGACCATTCAGAACACTGTTATTAGTGTTTTCAGTAAACAGAACAAGCCTTATACTCGAAGTGAACAAATGGATCTCTAGGCAGAGGGTGAGTTCGTGGAATTTCATGAAACAAACAAAGTAGAAGAGCACTTACACACCAAGTTTTCAATAAGCTCTAACTAGAGCGGTGTCCCAGAAAAGGATCTCTTGTGAAATGATAAACATTGTCTCTCTCTATTACTGAGTGCACTTTGATCTCTTTTGATAGACAGAGTAGAATACTTTCCCAACAAGTATCTACGTCTTTCTACGTTCTAGAACCCATTATTTATTTATTTTTATTTTAACACATAGATATTGGTACAAGGACACCAAATACATATGCGCCACACAGATTTCATTTGATGTGTGAGGGCTGTGATACTGTCCGGGTGCCCAAACCGAAACAGGTGATTTTCTTAGGGGGCCACACCCCGAGCCTTCGACCTGAAGATCTGATCCACAAGGCAGTGGAGCATCGTAAGGAGATGCAGTCCCATGGTAGCCGGTGACCAACGATTGGTTCATACGCTAATTGTTCCCCCAGGATACTGGAGCCCATGGGCACCATTGGTTTGGGATCCGTTGAAGCGCCGGATACTCGCTTTTTGTCCTCTTATTTTCGTAAACAACAGTAGTGCCACGAGAAGGCAGTGAGTAGGACTTCCCTGGCAGAGGCTATATACGCGTGACCATGTGAGCATTTCGAGAGGGAGAGCGGAATTTCGCCACTCTCGAGCCGTATCAGGGCATTTGGGGGCTCTAGAACCCATTGACGGGTGTATAGTGTCGACAAACCTGCGGACTACTGAAAACTGCTAGGTTGTGATTGACTGTCCAGTCGAGCAGAGTGGATAAACTGAAGAAACGCATGTGGTTTTTATTTGATGCAATTCAGTATAGGCCCACTTATTCGAGTTTGAGCCATACTTTTTATAAGAACTAGTAATAGCATTCAAGTGACCAAATGACAGTGGAGTGGGGTTCGAACGCATTACCTAATAGTTCAAGATTGAGTGCTTTGAATACGGATCTACCACCAACTGTCGGGCACAGATCATCCTGTTTCATAACAGTTCAAGTGAGAATACCGATTGTGGAAACTAACTGCAGCAGACAAATAATCAACTGATTGAATCGCATATTTAAGTTTACGTAGATGACCAGCAAAGTTAACTAACAAATATGCATACAAATTCCGGCCCGGGACAACCTGTTTATTTCACACTTCACTAGACGAGTAGCAAATAAACAAGTTACAAGGACAAGCGATGAAGACATCTGTGCCAATAAATCTTTACACCAAGCGGTACATTAGTTTTGACAGACCAATTAATCTTGATAAATTTTCGTTGTTATCGAAATCAGATATTTAAAAACTGTCTACAAGAGCACACTTATTCGTACAACTGATATAACTTCCTAATTAAGATTACGAAGAAAATGTAATTGATTTCATGAAGTGAAGTGTATTATTTGAATCCAGCTATTTCTACGACAAGTCAATAAACTGAAACGTGCAACATCAACAACGAGACTTACTACGTTTAAGTATTTATTTGTCCTACTGAGTTAAAGAGGTACACAAACAATAACTTCAAAACATCGGAATCTGGTCACAGTTAATTTTACATCCTATCGCTCCTTTAAATTTAGTTATAATTCCTAACTCTTTGTTCTTTGACTTTAATCCTTCCTTACAAACTATTTCCCATGCTTCATCTGGATTTCTTGTCGTGATATCCAGTGTGGTAATTTAGACTGATATATATATATATATGTACAAGGTCTTATGTTAATGACGAATGACCAACCGACTTGAAAGTAACATGTCCTTCCCGCCACAAAGATGTCAGCTCAGATCACCTTGAAGCAAATCCTGAGTATCTACAAGTGGTGACAATGAGGACGGTAGTGTATATAGTTAAGTCAAGTTTGTAAAACAGTAAGAACCAGAAAATATAAGAGATTGCAAAGGTTGAAATGTGATAGTCTTCTTAATTTTTGTCATGGCAAGGTGATAGTAATCTAATAAAGTGTACAGATAAACGTATTAGCCATAACCACGGGGTGGCGTGTACACATGTGATGCTCAGTGTTAGTACACATAATGCCCGCTAATGTCGAAATGATCATGACCTGAACTAAAAAGCTGAAGTATAAAAGAGAGGACTAACTTGAAAACTATAGAATAAATGACTTAACTGAACGTCTAAGAAATCAGTTTAGATTTTGTTAAGCAAGTCGTTATGAAAAACACACCTTCCAAAGTTTTATTGACAAGTGACTGAAGATGAAACACTTAATAGATCGTCCACATAACAGTCTGGTCAGAGACTATGGAAATACAAAATGTGAACCGAAGCTGAAAATCAAATACATGGAATGAGTTGCATAATTAAAAAAAAAAACAAATAAAATCCAGTTAGGGAATGTGATCCGTACAAATGATCCAGATTAAAATTCCAATAACCTAGCTCAGCCTATTCTGTTTTCCCTCCTCAATAAAACGCTCCTCACTTATATCTTCCAGGTCATGTGCTTCCAAGATATGTTTGATTCCTTGGAACTGAGACTTTACAGCATATTTCGAGGCCGCATACACCATATTCTTTTTAGTGCTCAAGTTTTTCGGGGTCCTAAACTCATATGGACACAAATCGACAACGTACCACATAATAAAAAACAAGTCTGCAGATTTATTGGGATATTCATAATCATATACAACGTACCGACCTTCTTTCAATTCCATTGCTTGAATCATATCTTCTCTGAAATTTTGGTACGTTGCCTCTAATGGTACCAGTGAAGAAACGCTATACCTCAATACCAACCTCTCTTAGCTTCTTTCAGAATGCGGACTTCTCCCCCTTCGTCGATGTGAAACAAAACATAACGATGTCTTTTGTTCATTTTCAAATCATTGAAAGCGACAAGACACGATGAGTGACATTTTATGCCAGAATTCTACAACAAAATTGAAAATTAATACAATGTAGTTGGTTTTAGAGACAAGAAACCCTTAAGGGAACTAGAGACTGACCATCCTATACCAGGTTTGAGGGAAACCAAATTGCCCGCCTTTTTAGTGAATCGAATAGCACAAATAGTCAAATTGTTCATATGCTTCTAGACGGAACTGAAAAGGCTTTCGCTTAACAGGATTCTGTATTCAGTATATGTAACAATAAAAAACCATTGGTAAATTATAATGAGATACTGTCATTAGTCTGTAAGAATATGATAGGTTTTCTCTTAAAGGACTTCTGTGAAGTCGCATGAACCACCTCAGCTGGCAGCGAATTTTAGAGTCTGATAACTTTAGAGGGATAAAAGGTGTGCCTGAAGTCCATCCTGCCATGTCGTGTCTTGAGTTTCTAGATGTTACCCTAAGGTTTATGAAGAGAATGAGCCTAAGTGGGTGTTTAAGAGGGTGTCGATTTTTGGGGGTGCTAAAAGTCAAGAGGAGGTCGCCTCTCAGATGCCTACACCCCAATGAATAAAATTTCATTGACTTGAGGCGCTCTTCATAAAATTTGACTTTGAGTACCTGAACTGATTTCGTGGCTCGCCTTTGCATACTTAAGATGTAAATGTAGTCTGCAACATATCTCATATGGACTACTTTACACTATGAAGTGTTAAAATGAAGACCGTTTTTACCAGCCCAACTTTGAAGTCGAGTCAGGTCTTCCTGAAGTGCCAGCTTATCACCTTGGTTGGAAACTTCTCTCCAGAGTTTCACATCATTAGAGAAAAGTAATAAATCAGACGATAGTTGCGGGAGATCATCCATGTAATCAATATCCAAATTCCAATGTCTTTGTCACAAGCTTGTATAAACCAATAGATTACTTTGCACTGTCTTGTTGTTTCGGTACGATTTCAGGCATCCAGTAATGTTTAATGGATGGTAGTTTAGCTACTTGACTGAACTAATTATAGTGGCAGTTATATATAGATTCGTGTTTTTGTAGTTGAGTGAGTGCGTTTATCTCAGGATAGTAGAGTTTCTGGATACCAAAGTTATTTTATTACAAGGCAAGCGGTTGGTTGGTTGGTTGCAGTGCGAAAATAAAGTGATAATTCAAGAGCTAAGTAAAGACGACCATTTCAATAAATTAAAAATAAATAATTTAACTAATTGATAAACCGTAAGAAGACGGAATCAAAAGAACAAGAAGGTAATGAAGATAATACTAAAAGAGATGAGAAATAGTTGTTAATATATGGTAATGATAACCGTGGTAATTTATGAGACACGAATCAGACATAGCTGGTCTTAGAGAAAGATGTTGTATGTCGTTATCAGATTACCTCTTGCGCTCCAGTATCTCAGCGAGAATAACCATAAGTGTCAGAGTCTGTCCTTCTAAAATTCATATTTTAGACTTATTTCCCAATCGGCTGCTCGTCTTTGTACCTGATCTAGGATATTTGTGTCTCTTTTGTGGAAAAGTAACCTAACGACGTTGTGAATTTCAAGGTTGTGCCACGCAAACGTTTTAAACAGTGCTGTGAACAACTTTGAAATGGTTGCGCTGAGTCGTCTTCACATAAATGAAAAGACTGCGTTTTCTTTGGCTACATCCTCTCTGTAATTAGCTCTGGTGACCAAGTCCTCTGTGATTACAAGCCCGAACTCACTCACTGAGTGAACAATGAGAACAGATCTCCATGGACGACGTTAGCGGTTTGTATGAAACGAAGCAGAGTGTTTATAAAATGACTTTTCGACCTGTTAAATTTTAACCTATTGTCTACTGCTCATCCCTCCATTTCTCTGAGGCCTTTTTTGAAGTTCAAGTTAATCCTTTGCGTTTTTCATGAACCACCAGATCTTTGTATAGTCTCTATAGATTGATGCATTCAAGCTAATTTTATCTAACAGGTCGTTCATGAATATCAAGAACACGAGAGAACCTAAGATTGTTCCATGTAAAACTCTTAATGTTAAAACATTCTATTTAATGGGCACTTTGTTTATCTTGGTACGAAACACACTGACCTCTGAGTGGTTTCGGAGCCAGGATAAGAGTGGGTAAGTGAAATCCATCTTCGCAACTTTTGCTCCAAGAAGTACATGAGGTATTGTGTCGGAGGGTTTTACGAAATAGAAGGATATTACATGAGCCAGTATCATGTGATCCCAGCAGGTTGTCCAGCTTTCCCATGCTTTGAGGAGATCGGATGCACATGACCTGCCTTTTCTGAACTTCTGTCGAGCTTCCTGAATGATAATGCTTTTATCCACACATCTCTCATATCTTCGTTCTTCCATTACCTTCGAGATTATTGGGAGTAATGAGACTGGTCTTTAATAGGCTGGGTTTTGTCTCTCTCCGTTTGAAGATTGAAGTGAGAGTACCTTGCTTTTACAAAGTTAACATTAAAATTATTCATCATCTCTAAGTTAGTAAGATTTTCTCCACTTGGTTCCATAAGTATACCGATCCGTTAGTTTGTAAACTTTCTCCTGGTCATGAATCTGCGGAGATGTTTGGGGTTAGCCTGCATTTTAGTTGCTAAATTGGCATGAAAACACCGCCTGACCCTACAGACTTTGGCGTTGCATGTGTTTCTCAAAGCCTAGTAACACTCACAGTCAGAATCCTTCAGGGAAACTTTCCACTAGTATCAAAGTGTCATTTTGGCTTGCAGCAAGTGTTGTCCGTCTCGTCTAACCCAAAATCTTTCCTATCCAAGTGTGCACCCCTCTTGAAGTACGTTGTTTAGAATGGAATTTTGAATGATATCCGTCACCAACTCCTAGTGGTCATCCACTGTTTGTATCCACCACTGTCGTCGTTATGTGACATTTTGAAGATGCTCGCTCGTGGTAGCCTGACCTGTTTTGATGTAGCTAGTGACCAGGTTATGCATGACAGTACTGGTAAGTCTTGCAAATTTGAACGCTATACTCGGTTCCTAAGATATTCTGGTAACCCTCAAGCTAGAACTATACAGCGACCTGAACACGAGAGAGAAGTCGCAAAGTATGCGAAAGTACTTTACTCCAGAGGTTCATTTTAAGACAGAAAATATAGGCTTTTTATAATATTTTAAATGTCCTTGGGTTTCTCAAATATTCTGGAATGCTGCTAAACATATTAGCAGTATAAAAATCAGCCAATCAGAAAATCTACATGTGACGTTTCACTTCCTTGGTGTTTCTGGCTAAAACTCCAGGTGAACGCTGATTGGATGAGATGCTTCTTAGTGTTTCCTGATCCTTGCCTGTCATTTGCGAGAAATTTTCTGGATCACCCCAACTTGTACCATGTCAATGACATCATCAACTAGAAGCTGATCATTTGTTAACAAATAATCTAGGCCTGTAGATTTTCTGTCCTCATCCCATCTCGTAGCGCCAGCGACATATCCAGTCAGTCCTGAACTTCTAGTGGCTGTACCAAGTTGACTATAAAACCACCGTGCTGGGGCAGTAGCATGCTTCCTGAAATGTGGAGATTGAGTGTTCTCTGACCTAGCAGGAACACTCACGGCCCATGAATTGTCGTTTCTAACGTGGATCCAAGAGGATCGTTTAGCCGATGATCCTTGAGATGTCAGTAGTGTTTCTTTTGTAACATATACCGAGTCTAGAGCTAGTTTTAATTGAAAGGTTTTAGGTTTCACTAAGTTTTGACACTTCTGCGGGTGGCATAGCTAAGCAGAAGTGGTATCCTTTCCCAGGATTGTAAAGTACTCGTCCCATTGTTTTATATTAAAGAAATCCCTGCCTTCTGGTAGGCTTCTCACCAATATTGAAGCATTAAATAAAACCAAGAGTTTTGTTTGATATGTGATGTGAAATCAGAAATAAAGTAGCCATAACAAATAACGAAAGCTATTTTTGAGAACGTTATTTCATTTAAGTCAAAGTTTGTAAAACACTAACATTTACTTATGTCTCTAGTTTATTCGACAAACCATAATCTTCCGCTTTATGTATGATTCACTGCCATACTTTTTTCTGTTTCAAAGCTGGTGTAATTTAAATGTAACCTATGGTACTCTATTCTCGTACCTAATGCCTAGTTCTGGACATAATTCTGCATCGATTTCCCTTTACAGTGTCTACTCTCTACTCCATAATTTTAACAGATACTGGAATTTTTGTGTATGTGGCTCCCAAATTCGTGTGTTTGGTTGATTGTGTGTTTGACAGTTTGGTTATACTTTTATGACTTGACATGTTTGCTTCCAACGGGGTCAGTAGTTCTTATTTTTCAGTCCCATCTGTTTTTTCTACGCAGTGGACAAACAAACATCCAGAAATACAAACAAGGGTGACTTAACATGAACACGTAATACTGCCTAGGTACTGCGATATCACAGCGACAGCAAACCCAGGAACTACAGAAATTACTTTCAAATGCTGTCACGCAATTTGACAGGCGATGAGCATGCGATGCAATTATCATTTTCGCGTAATTTGCCCCCCTGGAGGCTGCATTACGGATAGTTTAGGACAACCCTTTTAAATCACTACCTCTGTTAGTCATCCTAGTGGTTGTAGTTTTAGTACAAGTGTGAATGATATTACTGTGCACGCTATTTAACGGACTTAAAGTAGAATGTGGGACAATTTAACAAGGAAGTTTGTAAGGATAAAAACAATAGAGATAAATGAATGTCTTACATTCAAGAACAGAACTTTTCTTGGTGAAAAACTGCCCACTCACATATGTCTTGCCATTTTATATTTGCAAACACAGAGGAAAATGTCGAAATTGTTCATCGAGTTCGATGATTATAAATTTATTCTGTTACTTAGGCACTAGCTTCTTTGAACATGTGTTGATACATAGGGAAAAATATGCAACGGGCACAGTTGTAAACCAAGTGTTTGCAGAAATATCGGGTGACTGACACTGGAATCTAGATAATAATTCACTATCCGTCTTGATATTTTGTGAACCTGAAGTCCACTGGTTCCATGTTGCAGCTAAAATATGACTCCTATCACATTTTCCCTCCAGCAGATCTGTTATGAAAGAACAATTTACTGTATCTAGGAAAAATAATGAAATCTCTGCATAT